AACTTGGTACTTTACTTGTAGATGAAATGTGGAATTCAAGAGTGTGAGCCCACTTGGTACTTTACTTTTCTTGTAGATGTTACTTGGAATTCAAGAGTGTGAACTCACTTGGTACTTTACTTGTAGATGTTACTCGGAATTCAAGAGTGTGAACTCACTTGGTACTTGATTTGTAGATGTTACTTGGAATTCAGGAGTGTTAACTCACTTGGTACTTTACTTGTAGATGTTACTTGGAATTCAAGAGGGTGAACTCACTTGGTACTTGACTTGTAGATGTTACTTGGAATTCAGGAGTATAAACTCACTGGCACTTTACTTTTAGATGTTGCTTGGCTTTTAAGATTATGAACTCAGACACAGGCAAATTCACAGAAGCTCTCAGAACGGCAAAGAACGTTTCAGAAATACACAACACGAAATAAAGTCAAATCTCGTCAAGGGAAATTTAAAAAAAAAAAAAAAAGAAAATTAATGGACTCAACCTTAAATGGATGACAGGAAATGTTCTAGATAGTAAATTCAATGTCAACTGAGTTAGTAGTTTAAAGAATGTGAAGATGTCACCAGATCCCACAACCGCTTAAGTTGAGGAATGGAACAAACTTTTACCTTACTTATTCTGTTGTGGGCTCAGGCGGATGGGTGTAGAAAAAGTAAAGGACAACCCCGGTTACGCCCTATAGGCCAACCCCTCCCTCCTTAGACACTCAGTGTACGCTGTTGGCGTCCAACCCGTCCCTTTTTTTGCCCCTACCTGCGCGTTGGAGGTATATAGGCTGACCGTCGTTTCATTGAACGAAGTTTTTTCGCCAGGGATACTAGATGAGTATAATTTATTCTATACATTAGAGTCCTATGTAGTCACTTCATAGTTAGAGCCTATTTGTGTATGTGTACTGTGTTGTCCTTTATGTGCTGATGAAGGCTAATAGCCGCAACGTCCTTTGTTTGTTTATTGTGATCGATTTTGTAAAGCTAACATAAACTAATTGTTGTTTCTTACCAACTTTTTCTCTTCCCTATAATTTTATACTCCTAATAAAAATCTCTGTGACTGGTCCTGTTGTTCCAGATGGTGACTCCAAATGTTAGTAGGTTTGTTTGTTTGTTTTAGTATCCAGAAGCCATGAGTTGTTAACCCTTAGGCTCGGTATTATGGATATCGCAACCTTTCGGCCTTGATTCCATTGTAAATACCGTAAATCTGGGAGAAAATGTGGCTTTCCTGCCTACCCCCGGGATTGAACCCGGACCACAAGGAGTATGTCACCCGGTCTCCGCGAAATCCGGTTTAGCCAATTCCGCTAGAGAGCCGGGCAATGTTAGTAGGTCAGCCTGGATAGTATCTCTTCACGACTTCGTGGTCTGCCTCGCGGTGTACTGCCATTCTGCTCTCTTATGTCCACGGCTTGTACCTCTCTATCATCTGATATTCTGCTCTCTTGTGTCCACGGCTTGTACCTCTCTATCATCTGCGATTCAGCTCTTGTGTCCACGGCTTGTACCTCTCTATCATTGGTTATTCTCTTTATATGCCTCAGCCATTTAAGTCTGCTGGTCCACTATGATGCCAGTAATCAATGGTGATTTATACAAATTACGAATTTATTGTTACACTTTTAGATTTGTTCCAGGTTTGAGAGCCTCACAAGACAGGTGGTTTGGTCAGCGGTTTCAGTGCCGATTTGTCTACACAAGTTGGGTCTAGAACCGTTTGCCCTATACGCCCATTTTTTCCCCACAGAACCTCGATTTTGTGGATGCTCTCTGTCTCCAGCATTTTCTCCAATCCTTTGTGCTTTTTGTAGACAATGCATCTTCAATGCCTTGTATCCACCTTCAATGTCTTGTATCCACCTTCGCGAAGACGGTCCCCTGCATCGTTTTACGAAAACTGTCCCTTCCATTGCCGTTGTTGCTAGGTCGCCATGATATTTGAAACGTTCGCGACAGGATGAAGTTAATTCACCAGTTGGCTTCGTTGTTCAGATCATGGAGGATGTATAATATTTTTCTTCTTCTTTTAACGGCTAAACCAGATATAGTCCTGTACGGGTAATGGAGGTTGTACACATTAAAGAACTGATTAGTCGATATACACAAGATGCGTTTATTGTCTAAAATCATTTGAAGAGAAACTGATGCCTGACAACATTGGAACGAGTGAACATTGTCGAAGCACAAGCAGATCATCACTGTGTGAAGATAATGGTACAGTGATAAGAGAATCTGATCAATACTTAACACTTACAGGAGAGGAAAGGTGGACATACGATTAGACTACTACTACTGATATCGGAACTAGAATTTTGAGTTAGGGACGGAGAGCTTATGGAAATGTCCCAGGAACCCATTTTTTCGAATCTGGGTCGACCCCATGTTGGAAAACAAAACCCAGTCGGGGATGAAGAAACAAACGAGAACAACACCTTCACATGAGAGGCGACGACAAGCTAATTAGTTCGGGCTAACAAATCCCGCCATTCACCCAACAGATAATTATATCATCCACTGGTGCATGTAGACTTTATAGCTGGTACATTTTCTGATAGATTTCACCGACAAGGGCGATAACTGTTAGAGAGTACAAAATAATACGTATTTAAATCATGGCTAGGTTCAGTCACCTGGGTCTATGCGTGAACTGAGGCGACTCTCACCTGGTGAGATAGTTTCTGATGTAGTGTTAGGTTGAGATTTGGAGGCGTGGTTGTTTTCGGGCTTGTTGACTAGTATTGTAGTCTAGGGTTCAGTTATTCTTTAGTACAAAAATACCATCCATGCCAGCAGCTCATTGCTTGTATCAGGCCTATTCTACTGGCGGCCCGCGGTCTGAATTCGGCCAGCAGAGGCCCATCAAGTGGTTCTCTGATCCCTGCCAGTTGTATAGTATTGATGCAGATAGACTGGCCGGTTCTGCATCAGATGGTGGCAAACTAACGTATGACAAGCTGGATGTTGTGAGGGACCTTTGGGTGCGAGTGAACAGTGCCGAGGCACAGATAGATCAATACGGTCTGAGGAGAATGTCACTGCGAGGAGTTACAAGGGGATCTGGCCGACGCTCGACACTCAAGGGAAAGGCGAGACGGATATACAATACAATACAGGTACTAATACCATTTGAATTTTTAACTCTTCGCTTGCTTCTGAAGATGGGGGCGGAGCGCGTAGGGATTCTCGAGAGCTGTGATGTCGATTCTTATTTTAATATTCAAAATTCAACATTGTATTGATGATCTTTCTATGCTGGGGCTGAGACCTTCGGCCCAGGAAGATCCTGCTTTGTAACATTGTGTCCCCTGAACAAGCTTAATTGAACAGCCTTTGCATATTTGAGTCTCATATTGGGCCAATCACTTGCCTCACTGACTAACATCACGCCGGCCGCCTTTACTTCTCAGGTCTTTACCTGGCACACATTTTAGGCTGGGTTGACCCGCGAAACAGCATCCATTTTAAAATAAAAGAAATTATGACTGAATGCTGTTATGAAGTAGTAACGAAAATAATTATGCGTTTGGGGGTCGCTACAACACGAGAAACTGTATTAAAGGGTACCGGAATTAGGGAGGTTGAGAATCACTGGTCTAGATCACAGACGCACGGCACCGTTGTAGAGTCTCTCTGATGTTATCTTGGGATTTCTTACTCTGCCTCGGGCTCCACGTCACTCTCCTCGTTTGATACACGACTCGTGCGGTGTCGCATCACAAGACTTTCTTTTGGCGTGGGCAAACAATTTTATTTGCTGTCTTGGGGGCGAATATACCGTAGGTAATAAAGGCCGGTTTGTCTGTTAAATTTTTTTTTTTAAAATTCTTTAAGGAAAGGTTTTCAGTTCCCCATCGTTTCTTAAACCATTCAGTATCATGCATTTACTAGTTACTCCATATACAATACGCTTTTCGTAACATCGTCTTCTCCATGCAGCTGTTGTTTGTTTGTTTGTTTTAGTATCCAGAAGCCATGAGTTGTTAACCCTTAGGCTCGGTATTATGGATATCGCAACCTTTCGGCCTTGATTCCATTTTAAATACCGTCAATCTGGGAGAAAATGTGGCTTTCCTGCCTACCCCCGGGACTGAACCCGGACCACAAGGAGTACGTCACCCGGTCTCCGCGAAATCCGGTTTAGCCAATTCCGCTAGAGAGCCGGGCTCCATGCAGCTGTTAAAAGGACATACGCGATCACAATCATTACTTTAATTCCATTTGCCCCATAGTTTGTTTTCCAGTGTGGATTTCAAAGATATCGTTATAGGTAACAATTTTTCCTTGCGGTCTTAAATTTCTCATATCATTATGATTTTATAATTTACAACGGCGCTTGTGATGCTGTTTTCTTATAGCAACGAATGTATTTGATCTTTGTTGGACTAATAATTTGTGTACCCCTAAAAAACAAACAGCATGCAGTAATTGACACAAATCGTTCATATTTTAATCAATTTTAATCCAATCAATAAGCGTTGTAACAGTTCATGACGTATCTACTTCACTATTTAAAATACTATAACGCCTTGGTTTCTCGCACTGATTCTTCTTCTTCTGCCTTTCTATCCCCAATGGAGCATAGGCCCTCAACCAACTCACGCCAAGTCGTTCTTTCCTTCGCCATTGTATGGAGCTCCCCCATGTCCTCCCCATCTTTCTAACTTCATTCTCCAGCTCTCTTCTCCATGTGTTTTTTGGCCTTCTTTTATTCCTGTGTATGATGTTTTGTTAACTTTATGGTAACTGATTGCTTTGAACCGTTTTTTATTTTTTAAAATTTACCACATATAAGACAAAACAAAAAATTCTATGTATGTTTATATTACAATTATTTTCGAACAAGGGCATGATTATTAACACGTTGCATGCAGAATGTCGATAATTTTTAAAGTTAGTCACGAATTTGGAAACGTACTATATACTTCATCATAAATTATGCCAAAAGAACTCACTGTTTCTGTCCTCTCTTTCATCCAATGAAATCTATTCTATGTCAACAGGCTCCTGTCAACGCTACGGGTCCCAGGCCAGTACGGTTGTCGTGGACAAGGACGGCAAAAAGAAACATACGCGGCCAACCTTTTCAGGTCAACAAATCTTCGCCTTGGAGAAAACTTTCGAACAAACAAAATACCTGGCTGGGCCTGAACGAGCCAGGCTGGCATATGCTCTAGGCATGTCGGAATCTCAAGTTAAGGTAAGAACAACGTTACATTTGTGGCCGTAATGAGTTTGACTTTCTACAGTGTCCTGCTGTACCGATCTGCTTTACTTTATATTAAAAGTTATAAAAAGGACTCAGTTTCACGTCTTCGGTCGTATTAGGAATACATAAGTAAAGTGAAGTAAAGTAAAGTAAAATAAAACTAAAGGTCCCTTTTCCACGCCTTCATGCGTATTGGGCATATAGGGCCAGACCTATATTTTTACAGACCAATCGGCGCTTGGTGAGTGATGTGGTCAGCATCACGCCGGGCTTCTTTAATACCAGCACTGCACCTGGCACCCAATAAAAGCTGGTTTCACCTGGGAGTAAAGGTCATTTTTGAAACAAGTCCGACTCCGTCAAAACGCGAACCCAGGACCTTTCCGATTTGCGGGCGGGTGTCTAGCCGCCAACGCCACGCTGACTCTCTATTGGGCATATATGGTTAGACCTATATTGTATATTTCAATCGGCACTTAGTGGGTGACGTTTTTAACATCACGCCGACCCCATTTACTTCCTCGAACTTTACCTTAACAGAGAAAATGAAGAAGATATCAAGTTTAAGTCCTCAATGAACACTCAGGCAATTTGGTCATAAATTAAAGGTGTTGTTTTAATGTGGAATCTGATGTTTGACAATTCCGGAAAACCAAGTGGTAGTCATGACAACTCTTGGATATCGCAGTGTCTCTCTCACAGCTTGAAAAGAAGCACTGAAATCCTACTGAACATCAAGAAAGATGAGCTATTAGCAGCATCTTGTCTCGGAAACTGAAATATGTTGGCGTATATGAAGCGCCACGGTAAACTGGAAGAAATAATAGCAGAAGGTTTGGTACCTGGGAGGTTGGGGCAGGGGCCCACCAACAAGAAGATGACCAAAGGATATAAGAGACTCTATGTATATGAAAGTGCATGAGGCTGGAGAGTTGGCGAGAGACCGAGTTTCTTTCAGGCAGACTGTGATGAGAGCGACGTTCTGCAAAGGACCTGCTACAGGATGATGATGACGTGCATGACACCGCTAGTATTAAACAGATATTGAATTGCTTGGTAGGGAACGATTTAACAAAAGCCAGTACTATGCAGTGGTCTAGGCTAGGTCAATCATTACTAGAATAAATAGCAAACAGATGTGCTGCCTACAGTGTAAACGAACTGGGTTACTTATGTCATTAAGATGGTAACTAAAGATGTTCACAGTGAGAATAGTTAAGTTCTAATGTTGTCGTAGCGACATCATCAACCTCACTTGTTACCACGACTGTAAATATGTAGATTACCAAGTCCACATATTCAGAACGCGACAGCGCGCGGTGCATCTCTGATGATTGGAAGCTGCGGGCAAGCGACCGATTAAACTGATGAAGTTGATAATGAGGCGAAGTAATTTATTAAAATGTACCGCCTTTTCATTTTAGTTAAACCGATAACTCTTTAAACTGCTCGAAATTTAATTGCCCCGTTTTGGTATTCAAATAACCAGCATTGGAAAATTAACTTCTAATCTACTTCTTTTATCCGCGATCTGAACGGTTGAAGATTGCTCCGTTTGCCAATCTATGTTGGAAAACGACACGACTATTATTTACAGAATGCAGTACCCTTATATGGACATGGTATCTTAAACGGCTGTAATTTGTTGTACATTTTACAGAATGGGAAATTTTAAATAATGAGTTTATTGCTAGCCAGTCCAAATTATCCAGTAAATAATTTCAACAAACATTGAAGCCACAGCCAATCAGTTTTAGATCAGGGAGGATCACGTTTTTTGCTTAGCATTAAAATTAAACATGATCGCAAAGCAGAGAGGTTGCTAGCGCGATGGTTTCCCGAAAGAAAGAAAGAAAGAAAGAAAGAAAGAAAGAAAGAAAGAAAGAAAGAAAGAAAGAAAGAAAGAAAGAAAGAAAGAAAGAAAGAAAGAAAGAAAGAAAGAAAAAAGAAAGAAAGAAAGAAAGAAAGAAAGAAAGAAAGATAGTTCATAAAAATAGTCGATAGAGCAAAGTTTTAGAATGATTAAGCAGATATCATCCTTAGCCGCACAAGACTGCAGGTTAGCCCAGGCTGATGTTGCCGTTACCAGTGTCTTTTTTTTTTTTGTTTTAAATTTGTTTGGAGGTTGTACGCGGTATCTGAGATTTGGATCGTTGGCTTACAGTCCGGATTGAAATTTTGTAATCTCAAGGTAACCAGATCATCATATAGCAGCCTGTAAGTGTACGGTTATTTTAAGGCATTTTACGAATTAGTTATTAGGAATACAAAACTAATAAATATGTCAGAGACAAAATATGCAAATTTACAAGGAACATCAGAAGCCTCTCTTAGCAGCGGTGAAACGTCGCAAGCTAATTGGTTTGGGTACTTGGTGAAACATGATTCGATTGCAAACACTGTGCTTCAAGGAACACTTGGGGTAGAAGGAAAAAGGGGGTTGGGGGTAGTCGAAGAAGAGGTGGGCAAAGAAGACAATGGATTGACAACATAAAGAAATGGACAGTACTAAGTTATCCTGAACTTATTCATCAAGCGGAATACAGAAAAAAATGGAAGGTTTTATGTGCTAGTGCTTCCATCGATACACGACCACAACCTTAAAGGGTCAAGGTTTACATTAATGTTATGTATGGGGGACAATGGAAGAAAAGAAGCATAGTTTTAGAATGAGTTTGTTGCTGCGGCACAGTTGCGCGTCGACAGTCTCCAAGCTTGACTTCTTGGTTAACGTGAAAGTAAAGTTCCTTTTTGTGCCAGCAGAAGCTCGGGCAGTTAGTGGAGGACACACATATAGACAAATCTACGCTTGCTGGTTAATTGGGTAATGTGATAATGTCATACCCATCGACTTATCTTTCCAGGTCCTTTCCTTGACCACTTTTAGGTTGGGTCGACCTGGGAGCCACCTTTTTCTTATTCATTTTAATCAGTCTCTGGTGCGGACACCGCCATGGTGTAGTGGCTAGACGCTCGGCTGCGGTTCGAATGTTGTGGATTCATGTCCTGATGGACCCTGACTTAAAAAAAAAATTATCTCGTCTCCCAGGTCGACCCAGCCCTAAATAGGTATCAAGTAAAGTCATGGGAAGTAAAGGCGGCGGGTGTGATGTTGACCGCATCATCGATCTGATGCCGATGGTCTATAGGATAGAATTCTAGTCCTTTATGCTCATTACGTCTGATGGCGGGGAAAATGGTAATTTCCTTACTTTACTAAGGGAGACTGGAACCCAAGACCTTCGCCCTGGTAAACAAACGCCTAGCGGCTGCCCTGCGCCATTCCAGTAGTGTGGTTGGGGGGTTGTGTTATTCTCTGTGAGACTTAGCTTTTCTGTTACTGTGGAATTCATCAGCATTGCGGTATCTGATCTCTAAACTACATCTGTCATTATCAGGGTGAAGCTGGTATGTAGTATTTCGTTTAGCCCGATAGTAAAATTCTGACCCAACGGTGACTGTGCTGCAGAGCACTGTCGTGGCCCTCCAAGAGAAATGATTCTAAATATGTCTAGTGCCTATGTTTATTTTCATATATACACACACATACACAAACACACACAAGCTTGCAGTTTTTTCCGTTTGCAGTTATTGACGAGGAAAGTTCAGCTCGTGGGCTGCATCAGGCCCGTGGAATAATTTAGTCAGCAACAGCAATTACACGTTTGACTAAATATAGCAGACATTTTTTTTTAAAAAACTGATAACTGTGTGTATATCTAGAAAATAATGTTAATAATATCCATATGACATTGTCAGAACAAAAGTACTTTTTCCTTCTATAAGTGTTTGAAAATCAACTGGTTTCTATTTAATTACTGTTCTGTATATTCACAAACTACTCATCCTCTTGTGGATATGTCTTCAGCAAAGTAAATCATGCCAGCATTTGGCCATCAAAAGACAGCGCCGTTTTCATCTTTTACTTACTGCCAGTATAATAAATATTAGCTTTGATTGACACTGCATGTATATTTTCTCTTTCTTATATTAATACTCGCTTTAATTCTTTTCGTTCGGTTTCCCCGCCGTGCTTTGAAATCTGTGAAATGAAATATGTTAGATCTTCATTTTTCTCGTTTTAAGTGTGAACTTCATTCAGCTTACACAAATCTTTATTTACTATTACATTTCTGCGCGGCCGACAGATATAGATAGCGTAAAAATGAGCAGGATGAGCAAGGTGGCGCTGGTGGCCATGTTGAGACGCCTAGTGTCAGACCCCGCGGCAGACGAGTCCATGTTCGTTGCAGACGTGAGTGAATCGTGTTTATTTTTCTGAGAATGTCGAATGTCTTCTTGCGGACAGCCCTCGATCACTGAACAATGGGAGCGCTGACACCACGGGCATCTGAAGGGGATGGGAGGTCCCCTAATGGCTGCCAGGCGGGCAGAGAACAACGAGAAACACCCCAATAACACTAGGGCAGGAAATCCTAAGTGTATTGCTGTGCCGTCTGCCTCCATTTTTTTGTTTATATTCACAGGAGTAATGGAATGTCTACATGTCCCAACTCGGCCTCTATATAGTTGAAAGAGTTAATAAGTCTCTCTCTCTCCCCCCTCCCCACCCCGTCCTCAGTGGTCTCACACACACACACTCTCTCTCTTTTCTTTGTGTCTCTGTTCTCGCTCATTCTTCTCTGTCTGTCTGTCTGTCTGTCTGTCTGTCTGTCTGTCTGTCTGTCTGTCTGTCTGTCTGTCTGTCTGTCTGTCTGTCTGTCTGTCTGTCTGTCTGTCTGTCTGACTGTCTGTCTGTCTGTCTGTCTGTCTGTCTGTCTGTCTGTCTGTCTGTCTGTCTGACTGTCTGACTGTCTGTC